TCTTTACAACGTCAAGAAAAAAAACGCAATTTTTCGGTGGAATTCTGTGTATTACAAGAGTGCTTGTTCTGTTAAATCACAAAACGCCTACTTCACTGTAATGCTAGACTGATTCTTGAAACAGGTTATGCTGCTGCTGCTCTAAACCTCTATTTCATGATATGAAGTTAATAAGTGACTTTTATTAGAAACAAAAAACAAAATATGGCTGCATTAATGGGAGCCAAGCATAAAAAGCAGAACACGCTTTGAAATGTGACCCACAGGACTGCAGAGCGGGTCAAAGGTTAAGAGTAGATTGAAAGGTGTCATATTATGATGATTTTTTTTTCTATATTTAAAACCAGACTTTGATGTACAGTGTAAACATACTGTAACTTTCAGAACTTGTTGTTCGGTGCAAAAGGAGCATTTATTGAGCTGCAAAACCAACTAACAGAAGTGGACTCCTGCTAAACAGATGAAACATTACTGATATGACCAGCTTTCAGCTGTAAAGTTTGTTATAAAATTTCAACAGCCCTAAACTGACCAGATGTGAAATTTTGTGAATCATTGTTCAAGTGTGTAAATGAAATAATTTATTATTTTTATGCAATTTTTTATGCTCTTTTCTTTGATGGCAGATATCTGTTACATTATGATGCTATTTATTTTTATTTTTTATTTTTTAATGAAAAGTAGGTTTAAATTACGACTGCATATGAAGATAAAACTATAATTTGGAACAAAAAAGGCCACGCTGAAAAATGTATGTATGACTCATTATCATTTTGGCTGCTCATTATGCCGTTTCAGCCATTTTTGCTCCCAATAGCAAAAAAAAACCAAATTCTTGTAATCACATAATTCAGCCATAATAATTTTGGATTAGTAACATAAAACCCTGATCCACCTACACTTCTTAAATCTGTAGGCCTAAGTGTGGACTAAGCGTCTGAGGCTTTGTGAAGGACATGAGGCCTGAGAGCTCTGTTGACTGATAACAGACAAAAAATGGTTTACAAAACACAGACAAAGTCCGAATTCCAAAGCACAAATTCACAATTTATAGCACTTGATTCTGCCCACATATAGAATCAGTTTGAGTCTACAGATTCTTTACAGATGCCAAAAAGCACAGTTGACACAGTCATGCAATAAACAAGTGGACAACAGTCATAAAACTGCTGGAGTCTGTGAAATACCAGCTCACACCAGCATGAAGTCCTATGCAGGTCCAAGCTGGTTTATGGTGGTTTAGTCCTGGTCTTGCTTGTGGACCAGAACAGCCATACTGGTGCTGGTAATGCTGGTCACAGAATGTTCTTTCTAGTTCTTTGCTGGTTAACCTGGTTAAGAAAGCACCAGCACATCCAGAATATGCTGGTTATCAGCCATGCCGGTCTGGTTAACAGGGAACATAAAAGTCATGCATAAAATTAGACTACACAAAACAAATACGCAAAAGACACTAATAGACATTTGATCTGTTGCTCCTGTGTGCTCTGTGCGTGCTGACTTGATCATCTAAGGCTTACAATTTTATCCTACAGCAAAGGAGTGAAGTATGTAAACAAATGTTTCGGCTTCAAAGCAGTCATAAAACATTGGACTGATATTTATCAGAGTGAGCTGTTTGTTCAGTTCCAGCTCATGACTGCTCATTCCACCTCCAACCGCCCCACAGGCCACAATGGCGAGAATGAAAGTTATCATTATTTTATCCTCTTCATTTCTTAGAAACCATGCTGTACTTTTTAGTCTGTTTGTTGAACGGCTTTGGCAACATTCCTGTCCTTCTCTCCAGGCATGAACACGTTGCTCTCAGATTGTTTACTATGAATTAAGTGCACATGCCTAGACTTTTTGCACAAAAGCAATGTAGAGTTCAATTTAAATTAATATATATATATATATATATATATATACACATATGTTGTATATTCTCTTTCTATATAAATATATATTTTAAATATAATCATAAATATGGAAATTAATATATTATATATTTATATATAAATATACATTAATATAAAATATGTATGCATATATAAATAAGTAATATTAAAAATATTAGTAGTAGATATAAATATAATAGTGGATAAATTGCTGTTGGCAACATCAAAAACATCGAAACGAGTCCTTCTCATTGATGTCACCAAAATGACTTACTTGTATGGATGAAGGTTAAATAAATGAAAGGTTAAAATAAAAGGTTAAGGATGACAGTTGCTAAACCCCTCCCAAAATGTCTCAGATCTCCTCCCCAAAACACAGGTGAGTTGGCAGAATATAAATTTTGTGAACTTGGATTGGTCACACAGGCACTTGTGTCTCCTTTGTCTGCACTTCTGAAATCTAAAACAACAGATTTTGGGTTGAAATAAACTGGGACCATGGGGCTCGGCGTGAGTGGACTATTGTTATCTTGAACATATCTTGTAAAACAACCGGCATATGTTGTGTTTTGGATGCTGGTGAGCTGGCTGGGCCCAAACTGGATGCTTAATTAGTTTAACTAGCAAAGCTTCTTTGGTCAACAAGCTTTACCAGAGTATGCTGGTTGATCAGCGCCACAGACTAGCACCAAACCAGCATAAGCCAGCATAGAAACTCATGCTGGTGTATGCTGGTCCTTTCCGCAGCGATCCTGCTCACTTTGCTGGATCGTTTTATTCTGCTGATGTTCCATTCGTTGTGTTGATTTCATCTTTGGCTCTGTTCCAATCAGGTATGGTGTTTACTTTTATATCATATATACATTATGTTTTATAGACGGGGAATGATGAGTACACATTGACGGCAACTTCAGAGAAGGAAATCAAAAAGCCCAAAAAGGGTAAAAAAAAGAAGAAGGATGTGAACGAATTGAAGAAAGAAGTGGAGCTGGTGAGAAATTTATATATACATTACACATAGCCTTAACATATCTGGTATGATCTGAGGTAACACTTTATTTCGATAATTCACTTAAAAATAGTTAGTAGACATGTAGTTGCAAATTAATGAGAATTTGTTGATATGTAGTTACAAAGGTACTTATAGTTAATAGAATGTCTAAAGTGGACTATCGAAATAAAGTCTGAAACTATAACTACCAAGAAAAGTCCAATACTTTCTCGACTACATTACTTAATTATTTTCTGCACATGTGAATTATCATGCTGTACAAAAATGTGATTTATAGATTTTCTCTGCTGAACTGAGATTGAAGCTGTTTTGCTCTTTTGTAGGACGACCACAAGCTGACATTGGATGAACTTTCTCGCAAATACGGCACTGACTTGAATAAGGTGAGCAGAGGTTTATTGAGAGTTTTGGAAATTTTGTTTTTAGTAAATTTTATGTGTTGCTCCAGATTGCCTGTATGGAATTATGTGTTTTGCCTCCTTTTATGTAAAATACAAGGAGACAAAAACTAGTAAATGATCACATTCTTTTGGTTTGAAAAAAAGTATAAGTTGACTTTTTGATAAAACTGAAATGTTTTATGTTAAGCTTGTTTAGTCAAGACGCTTTACTGTCTTGAAATTGCATAAGAATTTGTATAGGTGTTTACAAATTTTGGTTAAGTAGCCTCTAGTTTTAAGATTTTTGTCTCCACGTTCATACCCTATGGCAGGGCTTGTCTTCATCCCGTGCAAAGGAGATCTTAGAGCGTGATGGACCTAATGCCCTGACCCCACCTCCTACAACTCCAGAATGGGTGAAGTTCTGCACACAGCTCTTTGGTGGATTCCAGACACTGCTGTGGTTTGGTGCATTTCTTTGTTTCACGGCATATGGAATCCAGGCTGCCTCTAACGAAGAACCAGCGAATGACAACGTATGAGAGAAAATGTTTTGTCTTCATTTGTATGTACTGTACATTGTCATACATTATCTAAAAACCTAATTGTGGTTTTGCAGCTGTACCTGGGACTTGTGCTAGCTTTTGTTGTCATAGTCAACGGATGGTTCTCATACTATCAAGAATCCAAGAGCTCTAAGATCATGGAATCTTTTAGGAACCTTGTTCCTCAGGTACAGTAACGGCCTCTTAAATCATTCATGTTTAGTTGTAGCTTTCCTGTGGCATGAATGTACTCATTGTTGTGTTCTGGTTATGTAGCAAGCGTTAGTTGTGCGTGATGGAGAGAAAAAGGTGATCAATGCGGAGGAGGTAGTCGCTGGTGATCTTGTGGAGGTCAAAGGTGGAGACAAAATCCCAGCTGATCTCCGAATCATCTCTGCACATGGATGCAAGGTAAGACCTAAAGCATTTCTGAATGTAATTGTGATATTTCCCATCAATGCCTTTTTATGAAACTTCCATTTTACCTTTCCAGGTGGACAACTCCTCCCTCACTGGTGAATCTGAGCCCCAGTCTCGTACTCCTGACTTCTCCCATGAAAACCCCCTGGAGACGAGAAACATTGCGTTTTTCTCAACCAACTGTGTTGAAGGTACCAAAAAAGTGTCTGTATTATGTTGGATACATTGCATGCATTTTACAATAGCTGAACAAACTAAACAACTAAATATCTTGAATATAATAAAACCCAGGTACTGGAAGAGGGATTGTCATCAACACCGGTGACTGTACTGTCATGGGTCGTATTGCATCACTTGCCTCCAGTCTAGATGGTGGAAAAACACCAATTGCTAAAGAGATTGAGCACTTCATCCACATCATCTCTGGTGTAGCCGTCTTCCTGGGTGTGGCCTTCCTAATCCTGTCCTTGATACTTGGATATGGGTGGTTGGAAGCTGTTGTTTTCCTTATTGGAATCATTGTCGCTAATGTACCTGAAGGTCTCCCTGCCACTGTAACCGTAAGTTAGAGTGAATGTTTAGTTATACTTTGGTTGTTTAGTCAACTGTTTCAAAATGTTTTAAATCCTGCTCATATTTTAGTATGTTTGAGCCAAAAGTGACTACTTAGCTTGTGTCTACTTATGTAGGTGTGTCTGACTCTGACCGCCAAACGTATGGCGAAGAAGAACTGCCTGGTGAAGAATCTTGAAGCAGTGGAGACTCTTGGCTCGACCTCCACCATCTGCTCTGACAAGACTGGAACTTTGACCCAGAACCGAATGACCGTCGCTCACATGTGGTTTGACAACCACATTCACGAGGCAGACACCACAGAGAACCAGAGTGGAGCCTCCTTTGACAGGAGCTCTGCTACTTGGGCCGCCCTCTCACGTGTTGCTGGCCTTTGCAATCGTGCTGTTTTTCGTGCTGAACAGAGCCATCTGCCAATCCTTAGCGTGAGTTTCCCTCTAGTTATCTTAATACATATACGAGCTACATTAGGACTTGCAACTTCCAGTAGCTAATTTAGCAATGTTATTGTGAGTGAAAACTTTGTTCAATCAAATCTGGTTTGCAGCGAGAGACAGCTGGTGATGCCTCAGAGTCTGCCCTGCTGAAGTGTATTGAGCTGTGCTGTGGTTCAGTCACTGAAATGAGAGAGAAGTACACAAAGATTTGTGAGATCCCTTTCAACTCCACCAACAAGTATCAGGTATTCTTGTTGAGATGTTGTTTAGAGATTGGTTTGTAGATTAACTGGTCATCCTAATAGGCCTTTAATATGCTTTTTCTAGCTCTCAGTCCACAAGAATCTCAATTCTTCAGAGTCTAAGCACCTGCTGGTGATGAAGGGAGCCCCTGAGAGAATCTTGGATCGATGCTCTACTATTTTGATTCAAGGAAAAGAGCAGCCTTTGGATGATGAAATAAAAGAGTCATTCCAAAATGCTTATGTAGAACTTGGAGGTCTTGGAGAAAGAGTGCTGGGTAAAGCCACCTTATGAAATTCACCTTGGGATACGCAATGAATTTATGGCAACAGAATAAAATGAACACACAAAATGGTAAATTACAGCACGTCAATAATTCTGTGACCTCTCTCATAGGTTTCTGCCACTTTAGCCTCCCTGATGACCAGTTTCCTGAGGGTTTTGCATTTGATACTGAAAATGTGAACTTCCCCACTGAGAACCTGTGTTTTGTTGGCCTCATGTCCATGATCGATCCTCCTCGTGCGGCTGTACCGGATGCTGTGGCCAAATGCCGGAGTGCTGGAATCAAGGTGTTGTCATCATCGAAGATCTACTGTGCCCATATTAAATTATTCTGATAATAATTACTTGTGACCATTCAATTACAAATAAGGTTATTCATTCAAAGTAATTAAAATGAATGACTCTTCTCATATAGGTTATCATGGTTACTGGAGACCATCCAATTACAGCTAAGGCTATTGCAATGGGTGTTGGCATCATCTCTGAAGGAAATGAGACTGTGGAAGACATTGCTGCACGTTTGAACGTTCCTGTTGGAGAGGTCAATCCAAGGTAAACCAATCATCTCAACCAGTTCCAGATGTGGCATGTGGAATTGCTCTAGATGTCTGCTAATGCAATGTGTACCTCTAGAGATGCTAAGGCCTGTGTGGTCCATGGTGGAGAACTGAAGAATATGAATGAAAGCGACCTGGATGAGATCCTCAAATACCATACAGAAATAGTTTTTGCCAGAACTTCTCCACAACAAAAGCTGATTATCGTGGAAGGTTGTCAGCGACAGGTACCCTCAGACAGTTATCTATTAGATCCTATTGATACTAGAAAATCCTTCCCAGCAGGAACCGTTTTAATGCATTTTATTTCTCTTATCAGGGTGCCATTGTAGCTGTAACTGGTGATGGTGTCAATGATTCTCCTGCTCTGAAGAAGGCTGACATTGGTGTGGCTATGGGTATCGCTGGATCTGACGTATCCAAACAGGCTGCTGACATGATTCTTCTGGACGACAACTTTGCCTCAATTGTCACTGGAGTAGAAGAAGGTATGTCATGATTTTGAGAACTTACTTGACTGAAGATTTATCAAGGTCACTATGACACTTATTTTCTGAATGTATCTTCCACGTCAGGACGTCTGATCTTTGACAACTTGAAGAAGTCTATTGCCTACACGCTGACTAGTAAGATCCCTGAGATGTCACCCTTCCTCATGTTTGTCCTCGTTGGTATTCCTCTACCTTTGGGCACCGTCACCATTCTCTGCATTGACCTGGGCACTGATCTGGTAAGAAAAATGATTATTACCGTAGAGATCTTTAAATGATTCATCTGTTTTTAACTAGTTTTAATTGTTGCCACAGATTCCTGCTATCTCATTGGCTTATGAAAATGCAGAAAATGACATCATGAAGAGACAACCCAGAAATGCTCAAACAGACAGGCTGGTGAACGCGAGGCTAATCAGTATGGCATATGGTCAAATCGGTAAGCACATTCTTACTCTATAAAGAGAGCTCTGAATTTTTTCACACAGCATCTGTTAAAGATCTTTAACATTTATACAATTAGTATAAGCATATATGAATATGGGCAAGCAATTCATTGTCATGATTTTCCTTTTTAGGTATGATCCAAGCAGTTGCAGGGTTCTTTACCTACATCGTGGTTATGAGTGAGAATGGATTCTGGCCCAGTTATCTGCCAGGACTTCGAGTTGGTTGGGAAGACAGATCTATCAGTGACCTGGAAGACAGCTATGGTCAACAATGGGTAAGTGTCAAAGCTTTAGCAAGCCATATATTGAAACAAAAAAGCTTCTATATTATAAAACTATATTTAAATGTTTTTATAAACATTGCTTTGTTCTTGTGTTTTAATTGTCTGATGCAGACCTTTGAGGCCAGAAAGATTATAGAGTCCACTTGCCACACAGCATTTTTCATCAGTATTGTGGTTGTGCAGTGGGGTGACTTGATCATTGTAAAGACCAGAAGAAATTCCATCATACAGCAGGGAATGAAGTATGTAAACAAAGGGATGCAAACAAGCTTCAGAGAAGCCATAACATATTGGTGGATTGTTTGTTCAGTTGCAGCACGAGGCTGCTCACCTTAAAGCCTTATCACAATTTGTTCTTTTCTTTTTTCCAAGAAACAAAGTCCTCATCTTTGCCTTTTTTGAGGAAGCTGCTCTGGCAGCTTTCTTGTCCTACTGCCCAGGCATGGACGTTGCCGTCAGAATGTATCCTCTAAGGTAAGTGGACATATCTAGACTTTTGCACACATGTAATTGGGTGTCTTCACGCTCAAATCTTTTAATTTGTCTAGCTGACTTTGTGGCATGAGGGTTTGAAACAATGAAAAAAAAGAAAAAAATCCTTGTGTTCTTTCATGCAGACCATTGTGGTGGTTCACTGCCTTCCCATACTCACTTCTCATCTTCATCTATGATGAAGTTAGAAAATACCTCCTACGACAGAATCCAGGAGGTAATAACATATTTCCCTACAGTATTTCATTGCTTTAAGAAATTAAGAATAAAATCTAATATCAGTGCTATTTTGTTTTCAGGCTGGGTGGAAAGAGAAACATACTATTAAATCAAGACGACATTCTATTGCAAACTTATTTTCTGAGACATTTTTCTCAAAATGACACAATGCTGTGTTTTTCAGCAAATAAATGTCGAATTTTATTGAGCTGAATTTTTGTGTTTTTTATTAACCAACAGAACATATAAAAAGTCACTATGCAAAAAGGGTTTTAGTGAAAATAAAAAAAAAATAACAATATAAGGTGATATAAATAATAAAAAAGCCATTTATGAATTCAACATAAAGGCATGGTGTAGTTACATTATCTACCAGAAGAGGTCTACTGATAGACAAAGAAAATCAAACCAAACCTTAGCCTAACCAGCATTTAAATTAGTATGATAAAAACGTGCATTTTCAGTGCAGCATAGGTCACATGCTCAATGCTGATTCTCACAGCTGACAGAAAACAAGACAACAACAGTAAAGTTTAATGTGACTATAAATGCACTGCTGCTGCGTTTAGCAGACACTTTTAAGCGAAGTCACTTGTGCTGCTTTCGGTTTACATATATCAGTTTATATTTATCAGCCTTCTCTGGAAATTGAACCCATGACTTATAATACTGAGAGTTAGAAAACTTCTTGGTATCTTAAGGGTCATGTGGCATGTATGCCGTGTGAGATGTTTATACATATCAGTGAAACCAGCAGAACACGCTGAACATCAGTCAAACATTCCATTATAAAAACATTATGCCATGTGCCAAGAAGTCATTCTCAGCTGTGTTATTATACTACTAAACGTGTTTAGGAAGTAAGGCTAACATGGGGGCTGTGAGGCTCTGTTGACTGACGAAACAGAAAATTGTTTACAAAACAAGACTAAGGCCCAAACAAAATTAGTTCTTAATAGTTTGATTCATTCTTAAATTACCTTTGATTTTAGGCAAATTTTTAGGCATCTAATTTTCAACTTAGAAGTCTTTCATTATAACAGATCAAAGAAATGCATAACACTTAAAACTGCAGATAAATATGTGCACACATTAACATGGAAAGGATATTTAAATATTAGCATATAGTTATTAAGAAAATCAACTGTTATATAAACAAGACATGATGAAGGTTAAATGAATGTTAAAGACAGATGACACCTGCCAGACTCCTCCCAAACTGCTACCCTAAAGTAGATGAGTTGACAGGGAACAAATCTGTGAACTTGGTTTGGACGCACATGGATTTGTGTATCCGAGTGGCTGGCAGGAGGATATGGAGCGGTGTCCTGGAATCCAAAGGACCACAATTTGAATTGAAATAAGCAAAGCAGGGCTTGGTCCAAGTGGATTCTGCTGTCTTTGCTGGACTGTGTGTTTCTTCACATGGTTTTCTTTTTTTCTTACCTTCTGATAGTGTTTTGTTTGTCATGTAGATTTTTGCCACTGGCTTTACTTTTTATGGGGTCAGGTAAGGTTGCAGTTGTATGCTTTATACAAAGTTTTATGCATAGATATAATTTCACTTTTGTCTTTGGGGGTTAAAAAGGGAGGAAGGCGGCATATGTGCTTACATAGGAATCACAGATATAGGAATCCCTGTGTCATGCTGAAATGTTGTCCAAAGCAGACAATGCAGTGGTAATGTAAACATACAGAATTGCATTTTTCAGCTAAACATCAACTAAAAAAAAGTTACTTGTCCAGGAAAAAGTGGATTTTTTTTTAATGTAATGTAAATTATTCTGAAGTAATTCTC